TTCAGGAGGAGAGTGGAACCCTTCCACAACCAGAAATGTTACCACCTCGTGTGAGTGTGACCACACCTGTTTGTGGGGAGGTCAGTGTGAGAGACAGGTTTGTGCTCTGCAGATACAACTCGCCTCCCACTTGCAAAATGAGCTCTTTCCTGTTTTTCCTTTGGCCTTGACGTTTCCAGGTTATTTTTTGTCCTGAGAAGTTGCACTGTCTCCAGGATTACAATGCTCTTCCATCCCGTGGTGAGAACACGCATTCCAAAACCTAATTTACCCAGAGGTTATCAGCGACGTTGCTATCTCTTCCTTCCATGATTTATCTTTTAATTAGAGTAGAAACAGTAAATAATAAACTTTGCAACGTTAATTTCATTAATAGTGATAATAGACAGTTTCCCGCGTGGTGTAATTAATTCTCTCATTTTGTCACCTAGCACATGCCAGGCACTGTGCTCAGCTTTGGAGAGATAAAAATGATGACGACAGGGTCACCATTTTATAAGAAGGTGAACTAAAATGTAAATAAATCATTTTAATAAATGCAATAAAGGCTCTAATTAAGAGCAGAGTGACTTTGTGGACAAGGGTGCCTGATGGGAGAGGTAAGAACTCTGGACGTCTTCAACGTCTCCCTTACAGACCTTACCGAAGAAGACTGATAGCTGAGTATTTAGACAGATATCCATATGAATAGAATCAGTACCTTTATTTGAAGGAATTACTTGTTAAATTTGTTTCCCCTTTGTGCTCTAAGAAGGACTTGGATCCCGCTCAGAGCATTGAATGGTTCCCAAAGGAAGTCATGTGACATTCAAAAAGGTGGCAGCTGTCAGGGTAGGTCAGAGGGAGCAAAGGCAAACTCCACTTTGTTAGATGAATTAGACAAATAGCTCCCTCTCCCAGTCTGGGCAAAGTGGCCTCGTGTAGAAGCCGTCCTGCATGAGCTGTGTGTGCCATGTGGCCTGGGCAGCTGGCAGGAGTCCCGCGAGTGCCCCGGGTCTCCGAGGCTCCAGCCTATGAAGTGGAGCAGGTCCAGGTGGGGAGGTCAGGTGTGTGCAGTAATGCCTTGTTGATCCTGCCTGCTCCCTTCATTCATTCAGGCCAGAATGGGCTCCGGTGATGTGTCCTGGAACAAGTTGCAGGGACCTTGCAGGTAGGCTGGAGCACCTGGATCCCCTCCTGCTCTGTGGAATCCCCACAGTCTCCAGAGGGCTCCCCTAGCTCCCAGCCTTGTGCATAGTCTTTCTCTTATTTGTTGTATGGAACAAGTTCCTGTATAAAAAAGACCTCTGTGTAGGCTCTGAGAGCCAGTAGTTTGGGGAAGCCACCTGGTGCTGAGCATGCGCTCCAGAGGCCTGGGGCACTGGCCTTTGGCCAGAATGGTTCCCCAGGAGGCCAGGTTCCAGTGGTGACACCTTATGTTTGTGCTTGCTCTCTCTGCTCAAAGTCGAAAGGCTCCAGGCACATAGCTGGGAGAGTGGCGCTGTGATCTTGCAAGTCAGGGATGCACCAAATAGAGCTCCTGTTTGCGCCAAGGAAGCCCTAAATAATGGAGTTTACTGGCTTCTCCCAGGGAGACTTCCGCGGCTCCTGGGGTCCCCGCAACCTCCCATTCCTCTTACTTTGATTTCTTTCTGTTATTTGTTGTTCAGAAGCTGTTCATTCAACCCTCAATTGTCTCTCAGGAGTAATTTTCCTCCAGGGTGTGCATCTGAGTTTGCTCCTGGGAGGGGGAGAGTTCAGCGTGCTGCTATGCCGGCATCTTGGATCTCCCAAATGCCAATCATTTGATAACTTTCCAGAGAGCCAATCAATCTGTCATGCAATGACTTTGGTTACCTAAAGATCCCATTTCAATAAGCATTTGTACACCTGGAAGATCCCCTTCCCCCCCTTACACACACACACACACACACACACACACACACATCATATACCTCAGACTGTTGGGTGCATTGGTCAAGGCACAAAGCATGCAAATTTACACAGATTTCTAACTAAAACTGAGAATCAATAGCATTAGAATCCTTCAAAATTCAACCCTAATCAATCAGACCCTTAGTAAACCAGGAGAAGGGACTAGAGTGGAATTCCTTAGAATGTCAAAGAGGCAAACAAAGAGGGTTTTATAGCGGGAAAGCTTCCCTAAAGGTCATGTTTTTCATGTAAATAGGAAAAAAAATCTCACTGATTTCTATTTGAAATATAGAATATAGATCGATACATTAGCTATTGTAAAGGAAGCCAATTCACTAGTTAAATTTTCCTGTCACAGCAACTGTGATACTTACTGTTAAGGGACATTTTCTTGTACTCCTCTCTCTTACTATTAAAATATGTATACCAGAAGAAACAATAGCACAAGGACACAGCTGGTGTGACTATTCCTGTGCTTTACCACTGAATTGGAATGGCTAACACGGAAAACAGAGTAGCAGATGGTGCGATGGATAGCTTAGAGGGGTAAGTGATTTGCTCAACGTGGTAAGAATGTGTGCACCAGAAGTAGAAACAAAAACCAGAAAGACCTTGAAGCTAAATGCTACTGTGTACATATGTCTTCTCACTGAGGAATAAAGTTTCAATGAGTCAATTACAAGGTAAATTATAACATAGTTACAGTTCTTTGTTAGATCCAATTACAGAAACAACAGTTTTGTTGGAGGAAAGGTAAGGTGTCCACACTGCCTGACTCTGTTCTATTGAGTGAGGGCATGAGTCTGGTATAAATGCTTTGTGTCTGTGTGTCCCATTCTAAGCTATTGGATTGCATTATTTAGGCCTGTGATTTATGAAATGTGTACAATAGGGTTAGTCAGGTTGACATTTGAGGTGGATTTCTCTGACATCAATGTACAGGATGAATCAAGTGGTGGGAAGGGGGAAAGGGCAGGGAGATTGTACTCAGAAAGGATGAATTATGGAGTTATTTCAGTCATGGAAGTCCAATATCAGAAAAGGCTGAACTACAACTAGGATTTGGAGGCAGGTGGTGCTCCCTACAAAGATAGAGTGTTGACTTTGTTATTGAGAATCAGAGTGATGTATTTTTGGACATACTGAGGTTGAGGCACAAACAGGGTTTCTGATAGAAGCATTCTGGAGACAGATTCAGTTTTGAAGTTCAAGGTGAAAATTGGGTCCACGGTTATGAACTTGGCAGTTACTCACAGGAAGGTGATAAATAGAGCTCTAACAATGAGCAGAACTGCAACAAAGAGGTAAAAGAGATGAAAAGAGAATTGGGAATAGTATCGTTGAACAAGATGTCATTTAAAACCTGGTGGATCATCCATAAAAGAAAAAAAATTACAAATCAGACTCCATCTAAATTTAAAACTCCTGCTTTTTGGAAAGATACAGTTAAGAAAAACACAGACTGGGAGAAATCTTTTCAGAGCATATATCTGTTAAATAGCTTACATCAAGAATATATAAAGTACTTTTAAAACTCGATACAAACACAAACATCTTGATATAAAAGTAGACAAAAGGTTTGAACAGTTACTTTAGCAAAGAAAATGCACAGATGCCAATAAACACACAACGAGATGCTCTTCTCTTCTGGTGTGTGCCTACATACAGTGGGCTGGGAGCATTATTAACTAAAAAATAATAACAAAATAATCATATACTTACATACTGCTTAAAATTTGCCAGAAACAGTTTTAAGCACTGTGCAAGCATTAAACTTTCTTAATGAGTTAATAAAGTAGGGTTTTAATAAAGAATTTTATAGATGAAGAAACTGAGGCCCAGAGAGGTAAAGTAATTTACCCAAGGTCACACAGCCAGTGAATGGCTGAGACCAGATTTCAAGGCAAGCATCAGGCTCCAGAGCCTAGACTATTGGCCATGACTGACACTAAGACACCCCTCCAATTTCCAGCAATATGCTGAGCACCTACTCTGTGCAACACATGGTCATATACTATAGTCACAAGGAACAAATTACATGTAGTTTCTTTCTTAGAGGAACTTCAAATATAGATAGAAAAAAAAGCTTTTGTATATCATGTCCTTGACTGGATCTAATCATGATCCAATTTCACAATGAAAAAAAGTAGACAATAATTATACATATCATTATCATCACCTTACTTGAAAGACAGGGTCTGATTATGACAACTGGAGATTATTGAAAGCATTCTAAGACCTTAATAGTTTAGAAGTTTTCCAGAGAAAATCAAACACTATAAAGCTTTAAATGAATTCAAATAAGAGATAAGAGTTTAGATATTTGAAAAATAACTATGCATGATCTTTAATGCTATCATAATTTTCATCAAAAAATATTTAAGGATCTCTTTCGTGCTTGACAAGATCCTTCTGTTTTAGGTTGCTCCTAATCACCGAGTGTAAACAAAGATGACCCATGTCCACACATGACAATGACCTAATTTCAAATACTTCCTTATGTTAGAACTGCAACTGTCAAGTGAGCTGACACAGTTCCTGCTAGCCAGCTATTATTTCAACAACACTAACCACCAGTCCCGAAGAGCGCTGTTACTGTTTGTTTGTTTGTTTTTCTTCTAAATTGGTAGCAACTCTTTCCCCAGAATAAGAACTGTGGAAGAAGGTGGTGATACAAAACAGAAAGATAAGCAACAGACATCTTACTTAATTCACTGACTGACTAGAAGAAAATCGTGTCTTTGAAGCTACAGAAATGATCAGCCCGTGAGACATATAATGTACCAAGTCACAGATTCGCTCTATCCCAGCAGCCCAGCCTGGAAGGTGGCCAAGCGTGTGCGCTACCAGCTGGAACTGGGCAGGGGGCAGGACGGAGAAAGGACAGAGACAAAGGGTGAGGAAGGTAAACGGAGAAACGGAGGGAAGGGGGGGAAACAAACAGTGAAAGAGAGAGCGAGCCACCGAAGAGAGAGAGAGACAGAGACACACCAAGATCAGGAGCAATAGCGGGAGAGTGAAAGGGTGAAGGATGGGGAAGGAGGGGGGTAGGTAAAAGCCAGATTTTTATTGGAAGCAATTGAAGTGGTTGCTATGAGACCCGCGCAGAGCACAGGACCAGCAGCCAGCCCTACACTGGCGGCTCTTACCTCGTACTAAACCTTTCTTTTGACACAGTTTTAGAGTTGCTTAATATCTGAGCAAGCACCTGACACAGGCGACTTTTCCCTTCTTTATTCTCCTCGGTCCCTCCGGTGAGATGGAGGTAGAAAACGAAGCCAGCTGCTCCCCCAGCAGCGCGGCGGCGGCGGGCGGGTCCAGAGAGTACAAGGTGGTAATGCTGGGCGCAGGGGGAGTTGGTAAAAGCGGTAAGTTTCAATTCCAAATGCTGGGGAAAGAGGATCTCTGTAGAGGCAACTCTACAGAGTAAAAAAAAAAAAAAAAAAAAGAATAATGATAGTAACAATAACAATGTTGATGCTGTCAGGGGCTAGCTAGCTGCAGCAGTTCGACACTAAGTATTTGGCAGGATGTTTAAGAGTATGGACTGTGTGGAGATGCTGATGAGTCAGGAGAATTGGGAGACAGCCACTGATGATATATAGAACTTGAAGAGGATTTTTTTCCCTTTGATTTATTTCCTGCTGGGTAATTTTTTTATATCTTAATTTATATGTCTTTTTAAAAAATATAATAACATGATATTTATGAAACAGGCACGGTATGAGAAAATGTGCTCCCATTCTCAAAAATATTCCTATGAAGTGCTATGAATATTCAATGAACCGCAATACAAATGCAGACGCCCATGCAGGATTATCAATGCTGATTATCATGTTTGTTTCTTTGATTAGGGGCTTCCTGTCACCCTTCCCTTGTCTGTGACCTGGCATAGCATGTGTGGGCTTTTAATGTCAAGAGGAAAGTTGGTTTTTGAAATCTACAGCTGTTTAAGGAATGGTATTTATTGTGGGACCTGTGCAGGGTGCTCAAGTTAAATGTTGTGATGAACTGAATTAAAAGAGAAAACTACAAGAGTAAAGAATATGAGGTGTTAATGAAAGTAAAGAGTGGTAAATTGGTTATGTCACATAAAAAACAGAAGTTGTGGGTGGTTGGGTTCCTTGAGGGGCTTAAAAGGCCAAATACAACAAATTAAAGGATAGATATATAGTATATATATAGATATATAGTAGTATTTAAGGCTGATTAAATGTTGGAAATCTTGGGGCTATAGATATCAATAAAACATAAATAAACATAATGTTTTATATAAATATAAAATATCCCATAGGGGATACAACTTCGGGGATGCCAAAGGCAAAAGAAATATTAGAGTTAGTGCAGAGAAAAAGTTTTTAAAATTCAGTAGTCTTAGGGCTTGGCAAAAAAATTCAAAGTTGAGGTCAACGTTATTGGTACAGAAGTCCCCCAACAACAACAAAAAAATCTAAGTGGTGGGTCCACAGTGATAAGAATGTTGATCAGTAAAGGAAGGAAAAAGAGAGTGTGACTTTAGTGGACAGCAAAGTAAAGACATTAGAAAAATAGCAAGAGACATAAAGTTGAACACCCTCCTCCTCAAAGCAATTACTATAAGAAGAAAAAAAATAGGTAAAATCTGGATGTGGTCAATGGCTATATGCATGTCAAAGTGAGAAAAGGTAGTCACCTGTCCTTGGAAGAAAGGTGAAGTGAAAAGCTTCACAAATATGTGTACATGCAGAATTAAAAAATATGTCTTCATTTTTAAAAGATGAAATGGTTTGAAGGGGAAAGTATCAAAATAAGTGAGGATTAGGGAGGGAGAGAAGGAAGAAGGATAAAGAGAAAATAAATCATGTAAAATAAAATGGTGCTTTGAAAAATCCTAGTCAGTCTGTGTAAGGAAGAAACAATGTGAGAATAAAATATCAAAAAGAGAAACAGATCTAAGGAAAAGGCAGGAGACTTATCAACAGAAATGCCACCAGCAGCTCCTGAGGGCAGAGAGATGCTGTAAGGGTCCCATAATGTGTCCATGTATTACCTTTGTTAGGTGGCTTGGTATTTTCTTGCTTCATCAGGAGGATGGAGGATTTGAGAGTAGAGTGATCAGGTTTTAGTTATTTATTCCATAGAGATGAAACTTGGAGAGACGAGACGTTGGATGGGAGCATCCTTCAGCAATGTGCTTATCCTGGAGATGGTATTATATCTCCTGTTTGACTTCCTCCATGTGTTATTTGTACTGACTGGTCATTGTCACCTCTTCCAAGAACTAGAAATTTTTGATGTACCAGCAGAGTGACCTGATTTTCTCTCACCTCCACTTTGTACAAAAGGAGCCAGTTCTTAATTAAATACTTGAGCAAAAGTTTTCCAGTGTGATAGACAGGAGTAGCTAGCTCACCTCAGGGATGGTTAAAGTAAAAGAGGGTGAATAAGTTCAGTTGTACTAACTTTATACATAGCATCTTTGGCTGTTACATTCAGAGAGAACATAACTCATACTACAGTTCCAGGCTTAGAAAATTCAGTCCTTAGGCTCAATGTTTCAATCAGCGTGATGGAATCACGTCTCACCCTTGGGCTTGGTCCCTATGATTCATCCAGTGTTACCAGTATATAAATGTTCAAGCAGTGATTCTTATTGTTAACCTCCTCTTAAAAGTTAAAATGTTTCCTTTCAAACAACTAAAATATTTTTTAAAATTCAAAAGCCACTGTTTGTGCTGCTGAAGATTTGGATCAATAGAAGTACAATTTACTTTCCTTCCCATGATTTTGGTGGTTTATTTTAATTATTTTTAATTTTTTTATTAATTTATTTTTGTTACAAATGTTTCTCCCTTTTCCCCCATTGACACCCTCTTCCTGATCGCCCCCCCCCATTCCCAGCATTGTTGTCTATGTCCATGGTTATATATACATGCATATAAGTTCTGTGGTTTATCTCTTCCCTCCCCCATGTCTTCTTCTTCTGAGGTTTGTCAGTCTGTACCCTACTTCTATGTCTCTGGGTTTATTTTGTTCATCAGCTTGTTTTGTTCATTAGATTCCACAAATAAGTGAGATGATGTGATATTTGTCTTTCTCTGACTGGCTTATTTCACTTAACATAATACTCTCTACGTCCTTCCATGTCATCTCAAAGGATGAGCGATCTATTTTTCTTATAGCTGCATGGTATTCCATTGTGAAAATGTACCACAGCTTTTTTATCCATTCATCTACTGATAGACACTTAGACTGTTTCCAGATCTTAGCAATTATAAATAGTGCTGCTATGAACATAGGGGTACATATATTCTTTCTGATTGGTGTTTCAGACCTCTTAGGGTATATTTCTAGAAGTGGGATCACTGGGTCAAATGGCAGTTCAACTTTTAACTTTTTGAGGAAACACTATACTGTTTTCCATAGTGGCTGCATCAGTCTGCATTCCCACCAGCAGTGCACTAGAGTCTCCTTTTCTCCACACCCTCGCCAACACTTGTTGTTTGCTGATTTGTTGATGGCAGCTATACTGACAGGTGTGAGGCGATACCTCATAGTTGTTGTAATTTGCATCTCTCTGATGATTAGTGATGTCGAGCATTTCTTCATATGTCTCTTGGCCATTCATATGTCCTGTTTGGAGAGGTGTCTCTTTAGATTTCAGTGGTTTATGTGAAAAAGTCAGTGACAATGGGTTGCATGAGGGATTTCAAAGGGAAGTCAGCTGTTCTGTAGAAACACAAGGTGATGTAATAACCTATCAACAGTTTCCAATTCTGAGTCAGTTTCAAGTCAGCCTTGAATGTGAATGAGAAGCTCAATGTACTGGGACCTTATCTTTTAAATGAAACAATCTTGGGGATTTTCTATGCTTATTGAGAAATTATGTGTGGTTTTTTTTTTCCTACTCATATTTTACTAAGACACACTTTGTTAAGTAGGGCATTTTGAAAGGATTTGCAATTTAATTGGAGCAGAAACATTCCCACAAGATTTAAAAATGTACTTATTGTATGTGAGAAATGTCAAACCACAAGTTATTGATCAATACGTTATTTACTATGTGCTATGCCTGGGGCCTGTACCAGTTACTACAGAAGGGAAACAAGAAGGATGTGAACATTTATGAAGCATCCACCATGGGCCACATGGTTTTCTTGTTATGTTTAGTCCTTTCCACAATCTGATCAGGTGTTGCCATTTTACAGATGGGAAAACTGAGGCCCAAGGAAACAACTTGTGCCTCGTCATGGAGGTAATAATTTACAGATTTGGTGAAGCTTGATCTAACTATTTATTGAGTTTAACATCCTTGGCAGGAAGAGCAGAGTTCCACCACTCGCTGTTCAGAAGATAAGGGCTGTTGGTATCCGCTTCTCCCTTCCCCTGAACGTTACACTTAGAAGAGAGCTAAATCATCTAGGCTAGCACTCTCACTTATACAGATATGCCTTTTTAATCCTTAAGTCGATGTAATTAAACATTATACATAGTACTTATATTCTATATAAATAAAAACATGTTTATGTTGTATTTATATCCATAAACTGGAACATTATACCCAGCATTATCCAAGAATGCTGTGAGTGCTGAGAAAACAGGATAAACAAGAGATAGTCCTGACCCCATTTGAAAGATGGAGACACTCGTGCCCTGAGAGTGGACTTTGCAAATTCACACATAGGGTAGGGGCAGAGTCACATCCAGAGCTCAACCCTGCTGGCCCCCTGAAATTTTTCCCCACCACACCCCAATTTTTACACAGGATAAGCACTATTTATCCAATGAATTTCATGCAACTCGGGCACATTCTAGACTTCTCTCTCTTTTTATTCCACTGCCTACCATCCCTTTCCCTCCCTCAAAAAGAAAGAGAGAAAAAGTTAAAATCTCACGGCTGTACTTTAGGAGTTTACTGGAATATAAGCAATCCTTCTAACTGTTTTCTGTCTTTGTGGTTTGATTATAATGGTTGTTCCTCAATGACAGAGCATAATCAGTGTCTGCCTGCTTTCTCCGTTGTGTATTCATACCTAGTTCTCCCAGTACAGACTCTAATTGCTCAGGATATCTAATTCAATACTAAAAGATCTTATTTTCAAAAATACCCTTTACCTATTCTATTTTATGGTTATGTTTGAGGATAAAATAATTTAAGGAGGCAAGTAGGTTATCTATTCCCCATGTTCCGATGAGATACCTGAGGCACAGAATGTTAAGAGATTTGTCCAAGACTGCTCAGAAATAGGTAATACTAAGGAAAGAATTAATTCTAATTCTAAATTGTTTTCTCATCACATTTCATGAGAAAAGTATTCAAATATCAGATGAGAACTACATGTTCTTTTCCAGTTCCTAGGATACATCTTGGAAATACCGTGGTGAAATT